GAGACTGAGGCAGGAGGATCACTTGAGGCCAAGACTTTGAGACCAGCCTGGGTGACAGAGTGAGACTCTGACAAATAACATATATATATATATTTGTAGAAACTGTAAGTGCAGTGGCATACCGACAGCCACCACAGCCACCACAGCCACCACAGCCTCGACCTGCTGGGCTCAGGCGATCCTTCCACCTCAGCCTTCCAAGTAACCGGGACTACAGGTGTACACCACCACGTCTGGCTAATTTTTTGATGTATTGTAGACATGAGGTCTCACCAAGTGCCTAGGTTGGTCTCAAACCGCGGGCTCAGGGAATCCTCTCACCTTGGCCTCCCAGAGTGCTGGGATTATAAGCGTGAGCCACTGCGCCTGGCCTCTTTTGGCCATCTTTACCAGGAGGGTTTGTCAAAACATCTTATCTGCTTTAAAGAAAGGCGAGGTCCTGGTTTACTTTTTAAAGGTTGGTCTCTCCTTTTAAAAGGCGAGGTCCTGGTTTACTTTTTAAAGGTTGGTCTCTACTTTTGAGGTTGGTCTCTCCTTCCCGTTTTGCAGAGGTAAAGCACAAGAGGGAGACACCACTGCGCCCTGAGGCTGCCAGGGAAGGCCTCCAAGGGGAGGTAAGTTACAGGCAGGGGTGAGGGAAGGCTCCCTGAAGGAGGTGGCTTGAGCAAAGCTCTGGAGCTCTGGGCCAGAAAAGGGGGCCAGCATCCACGAGGAAACAGGGTGGAGCCCAGGGTGCAGTCTGGCCAAGGCCCTGGCCTGCCAGCTCCCAGGAGGGGCCAGGTCTGGCTGACTGAGGTCTGGCCACAGTAGGACCCGGGGTGGGGGCTGACTGCAGGGTGGTGAACTTGCAGTGAGGGGGGCAGGAGAGGGCAGAGACAGTGGGCTACTCCGGACACTGCGGGCCTGGGCCTTGGCTAGTCTGCACCCTGAGATTACAGGCTGAGCCGTCAAACCCAGCCATAGCACATTTTTGTATGTTTGTTTGTTTTTTTGAGTTGAAGTCTCACTCTGTCGCCCAGACTGGAGTGCAATGGCCACTCCCGGCCACCGCAGCCTCGA